CTCACCTCGGTTTAGCAATCGAGACTGTGGTCCCCGACTACATACGCTTTCCACTGCGCTTCACGATTAGAATGCCCAAGGCAATCGTTCCAACTCACGTAGCATGGTAGCAGTTTAGGGGGAAGCGAAACCCAAGTGACTTTCCCACAAAAGAGTTTTCAAACCAAATTACTTTTGCTTTCTTTCATTTCCATTGGCAAACCTTTAAACCAAATTTTTATTGCTAGATAATGATTTCAACAACCGAAATAGGGGTAGACAGACCGGTCCGGGTCGATATATAGATACTTGACCTATACTACACCCGATTAGAGTTTAAAAACTTGGGCGAGTCAAGTTTTTGGCGCCATTGCCGGGGAACAACGGTCTTTTATTCTGAAAAATTTGTTGGTTGTTAATCTAGCTTTTAATTTCAAGTGTTGCAAGTGTGTGTGTTCATTGCTTGTGCTAGACTTGGTGTTTTCCGATTGAGTGTAGGAGGTGCATGATCCGGAGCAACCCGGCGCCCTTACTATCACTTGACGAGGACATAAACCGGACTCTCCAACTCCTAGCAAGGGAGAGAGAGCTAGCCGAGGGAAGGAGAAGGAGTGAAAGAGGGGGACAACAATTGGGTCCCGGTGTTAGTGGAGAAGTAGTTGAAGAAGTGGAAGTTGAGCCCGTCATTGAAGAGGAAATGGCAAGGAACCAATGGGAAGATGGAGCCGCTGAAGCCCGCCATATGAATGAGGAGGAGGGAGAAGAAGGAGCCCCGAGGATGATGGGGTACTACATGGCCCCAAGGCCGGCGTACATTCAATCGGCGATCCTACATCCTCCGGTGGCGGACAATGAGTGATATTGGGCATTGTTTAACCTAGAGTTGAGTGAGGAAGTAAGCCGATTAACAATTGTCTAAACCGAGAGGGCCGAGTGACATGACCTTTCATCCTCATCTCGGTTTAACAATCGAGACTGTGGTCCCCGACCACATACGCTTTCCTCTGCGGTTACCCAAGTGACTTTCCCACAAAAGAGTTTCCAAACCAAATTACCTTTGCTTTCTTTCATTTCAATTGGCAAACCTTTAAACCAAAGTTTTATCGCTATATAATGATTTCAACAACTGAAGTAGGGGTAGACGGACCGGCCCGGGTCGATATATAGATACTTGCCCTATAATACACCCGATTAGAGTTTAAAAACTTGGGCTCTAATTGGGGTTTAATTGTAGTGTACATTCGAGCGAGTCAGGACCTATTTTCCTCGATCGTTTGTTCCTATGGCATGATCTCTATGCGTGGATAACTGTGATTGGTGAGTCATCTTGAAGGATCATGTTTTGATTTGAGAACAATGTAAGACCTCGTCATTTGCACGTCATTAATGCATTCGAATATCATTTGTGGTGGTTGTCAGGAATACTTGCTATTGTCCATATGTTGGTGCCAAATAAACATTGAGATCCGTCCCCTTTGAGCCCTTTGATTTGTCCCCGAGTTATTGTGTTTAGGTTGAAATATTGCCTTGTGTGTGATTGGTTTGCTTGGGGACAAGCAAACGTCAAGAGTGGGGGAGTGATTTGGACATAATTACACATATTTTACCCCTTATTTCTTGATCGTTTGACGTGGTAAATGATGTCCCTCGACCCATTTTATGCTAGGTTGTGCTGTTTTTGTTTCATTTTAGGTCCTAGCACGTGTGGGAATATCGAGGACATGTTTCGGGACGAATGGGAGTCAAAAAGCGTCAAAGTATGCAGAAAGTGCCAAGATCACGTGATGGAAGGAATTGTCACGATCCAAAGCCCGTGAAGATTGATAGGTGGTCGTGACAATTGCTGAGGAATATGAGGATTTGCGCACCTCACGGACATGAGAAGTCGTCACGGTCACTAGACCGTGATCTTTTCCAGCTGACTGTGAGGATGACCAAAATGGCAGCAAATGACTGCATCTTCGGTTAATATCACGAGCTGGCATTTTATGTTACGGCCGTGACATCCAGACCATGATGTTGGTGCTCAGGCAGAATAAATAGAAGATAGTTGGCAGAGGGATAGGGGGAGCTTGGCTGGGTTTGAAATTTTAGGGTTCTTCTTTATGGTTCCAACCCAAAACCCTAAAGGGGGATTTCTAGAGGGAGAGATCTAGAGGGTCACTGGAGCTTTCTTAGAGGTGCCATGCACCATTGGAGCTTGGAGGTCAACCTCTAGAAGAAAGAAGATGGAAGAATTTGTGCTTTGTATTGTAATCTATCTCCTCTCTATGAACTAAACGCCTTCTCTTAGGTTGATGAACCCTAGTTTCTAGATTGTGGGTTTGATGCTGGTGAATGTAACAGATGAGGGAGAAAATCTCCCAAGAGCCCATTAGTGGCATCTTCGGGTCACTTCTATCGTATGTTGTCCCGGTAATCCCCGAGTTAGTTGATTCGATCGACCTCCTATCGATATATAAATCTCTAGGTTGAATAGAGCATCTAACTATCCATCACCTAACGATAGGGTAGTGAATGAATGGAACTAGGATAGTACTCAACATATCGAACCAAACGATAGAACTAGGGGGATTCAAACCTAAGAGAGCTCCAAACCTTGTAATTAGTTAGGCTAGTGGTTAGGTTAGCGAGATTAGTTTCTTAATCATTATTCTATTTTGGCTATATAATAAAATCTTAACCCGAGGTAAGGTAAGCCTAGATCCTCGCAGTTCGATAAATTTAATTGCTTGCTTACCCTATGCTACACTTGGTCGTCGGTATACTTGGCCGTCGATTGGGATGTGTAGTAAGAGTTGAGCCCATGATACGTCCAAATGATCCTGGAACTTTGATTTTCTCATACTTTTGCTTTAATCTTCACGGTCTCCTACTCGTAACCATCTGTCATGTACCGTGATTTATGCAATTTCCATCACTTTGTCTCATTTTGCACCCTTTCGTCCATCTTTCGATTTTTTCGCCCATTTCACCAGCTAGAGTCTGAAACATGCTTAAACAAGACAAAACCTAGTGTAAAATTGCTCCAAGGACAATGCTATACAAGTCAAAGGGGGCAATCTCACGGTCTCCATATGTTCTATTTCCTCCTTTACAAGCCTCAAATGACGTATGAATGGCACAAACTTGCTCCAAATATTCTTTGACATGTTAGGACCTAAAATTAGACGAGAAAACTCACCCTAACGTATAATAAATTACGAATGAGTTAGTTACAAGCCAAATAGACTAGAAACGGTAAAAATCATGTTGTCCTATAATATTTAACAATAACCGACACATAGCATAATATCGACCTAAAACGGCCAAAATATTATGATTATGGCATTCAAACGCCTAACAAATAACATGTTTCCCTAAAAGAAAGGGACGCAATATTTGGTACCTGATATTCTCCAAATATCACAAACCTGTTATTTGAAAAATATTGAGGACTGTTATTGTATTTTTCGTTTCAATTATATCATTATTTTTTAAATTCCAAAGTACTCTTTTGTGTTTTGTCACTCTTTTTCATTTCTCCTTTCCCAATTATTCCTATAGCCATTATTCGGTTCCCCCTTTTACCTAAATTATGTATAAGTTTAACAAATACTTAATATGTCTTGGCACACTATTATATTGAATTGACGTATAAAAATTTATACATATTCATACCATAACAACTCATGTTCACCAAGCATGCACGTATGCTTTCCAAGTCTCTTAACAGCTTTCAAAGATGCAAAAACTCTTTCCTTTCAGATTCTCACTTCCCTACATGTTTTGCCAAACTCGACATAAATTGTATAAAACGATTTTACTACTAATTGCCAAACCAGTTGCCAAACCGACATAACCGTATAATCAAAGATTGTAAAACCCATATCCAGTTGGCTAGTTCAACTTGGTCCAACTGAAACCGGTCATATGAATGGTGGAATACACTATAGCTAAACGTTTATTGGAAAAAATCAAAATCGGATTAAACTAGTCAAAATTGGGTATCAGTTCAAACTGGGTTGTCTGACTAGTCAAAATAGGGTTAAACTAGTGAAAATCGAGTTTGAAAATAAAGATTGATAATTCGGTAGTATATAATTCTTTTGAAGAAATAATTTATTAATATATAAATGTATATTAATGAGATTTTCTAAAAATATTTCAAAACATCGATCCAACCATTAAACTTCAAACTACTTGTCAAATTGATTTTAGGATTTAATCTTGTCTGACAAACTTGTTATAATTTATAAACTATCTTGACAACTTTTTTCTTTGAAGAAAGCAAAAAGAAAAAATAGAAGTAAGAATAGGGGGAAAAACAGAGCACTTCTACTACGCTATATAGTATTGGTGCTTTAATGTATAACTTAAAGTTGTACCATAACATTAAATGTATAAGTTTAGGTTGTACCATAAAGCAATTTGTACCATTATGTTATGGTACAACTTTACAACTTGAAGTTGTACCATCACATAAAGGTACAAGTTCAAGTTGTACCATAAAAGAATTTGTACAAAAAGTCTAGGTACAATCTAAAGTTGTACCATAACATAAACGTACAATTTGAAGTTATAAAGGCAAAATCCTATAGCACTAAGAGGAATTTTACAATGCTATATAGTATTGGTGCTATAGGTTTTTGCCTTTATGGTACAACTTAAAATTGTACATTTATGTTATGGTACAATTTCAGATTGTACCTATACTGTTTGTACAAATTCTTTTATGGTACAACTTAAACTTGTACCTTTATGTGATGATACAACTTCAAGTTGTAAAGTTGTACCATAACATAATGGTACAAATTCTTTTATGGTACAATCTAAACTTATACATTTCATGTTATGGTACAACTTTAAGTTGTACATTAAAGCACCAATACTATATAGCATAGTAGAAATGCTCATAACACCAATACTATGTAGCATTGTAAAATTTCTCGGAAAAAGAAGTAAAAAACCTAAAAAAGAAAAACGCAGGCGTGGCCCCTGAAGACTAAAAACCCGACCCGACACGACACTATCAGTTCTGTTCCATCTCGTTAGGTTTCTCTCTCTTCTCTCTTGTTTCTTTTCTTTCTCCCGACAGTCTCTCCATCGCCGGCCGTCTCTCTATGAATCCTCCCCAGAAAACGGAAGACGATCTCTTCCACCACCACCACCACCACCACCACCACGATCTGGGCCCACCTCCGGCACCGGTCATCATCCCCAATCATTATCAATCTCAGCCGTCCATTCAAGAAGACCTCTACTTCCGCTCCTCTTCCCCCGACTCACCCAGTCAATCCTCCGACAACGACGATTCCTCCCTCCTGCTCCTCCACCGCCACAATGAACCGAAGCCGCGGCCAAAGCCGCTGTTCATCAGCCCAGAGTCGCACATCTCCTCCCAATTCTACACTTTCAACGCGGACTCCCACTCGCTCATGATCCGCTGCATCCTGGAGCACCGCCTTGCTACCCCTGACGAGATCCGCGCTGCCACTCACCGCTCCGTCCTCAAGTCCTGGCGCGCCGTCTGGAAGGATCGCAACGAGGACACCGCTTACGTCACCGGCTGGAAGCGGATCCAGGAGAAGCTCGCCGCCCACGTCGACCCCACTTCCGGTAACGAATTCCTCTGCTTCAAGAATAACACCCAGCAGTTTGTTTCCCACATTAATCAATGGCAGGACATTGTTATGAGCTTCCATGGGGATGCGGATTTGAAACATTTAGGCCTTCGAGAGACGATTGAGCGGATTAAGCAGATTTGGACTGTAGGGGCCAAATTTTATGGAATCCCTGAGAGTTACATTAGGGTTTGTGTCGCTGCCTGCCCTGTTTGCTCCGCATCCGAGGGCTCTGCCTCCAGAAACAAACGTCGTCGTTTCGAGTACACCGAGTCATTTGATTTGCCTGCCAAGGATGTACCTGATAAGCTGCAGCAGTTGGCTGCCAAACACAAGGTTGTGCTCTGCATTAGGCAGAAGTACATTAGGTATAAGCCGTTTATGGCCGAGGTTAAGGATTATGCTTGTCACAGGGCTGGGGAACCTGCAGCAAAGAAGTCTAGAATGCTTAAGAGGGAGCCGTATGCTTCCAAGAGGTGTGGCTGTGGTTTTAGGATTAGGGCAATTGTGCCAATTGCAAATTATAACGACAAGGATAAGACATTTGTGTATCAAGAAGAAGGGGTGGCCGTGTTTAAGCTCTATGCTGTGCATTCAGGGCACGAGCCGGGACCTTTGGATGGGAATGCTAGGATTATGCACAGAGTTGTTGGGCATAAAGGTGGTTTTATGACGGACCAAGAAATGGACTATGGCGTGCGTGAAGATGTAGATGGTGAAGGGTTTGGGTTGTTTGGCAAGGATGAAGGGCAGTTTCAGCTGTCCGTCATGCAGCAGGTGCAGGAGTTAAAAGCTGAGATTAGTCTTTTAGAAGGGAGATTGAGGAAAGTTCCGAGTGAGTATTTGGGTTCGGTATCTCAAGAACTGTTTGATGTTGTTAATAAAGTTAGGAGTATTGGGGATGAGAGCTCAAAGACGATTAGTTTGCTTCCTGACAAGCCTAATTCTGACGATGCCTTGGTGGGAGAGGATGAATTGGTTCATTGGAGCGATCATCCTGAGAGGATATATGGTAATGGAAAGGAGACAGAGTTGATTGATGACGACGACAATGACAGTTTCGGAAGGACACTTGGGGATGTAGTAGTCCCTTGGGACCAGATGAGAGCAGAATGCAGGAGTGAGAAGGATCTGATTAGTGAGTCCTGTAAGCCTCCTAAATGGTTGAAATGCAGTGATTTTGACGAGAAGAGCATTCTTGAATGTGAAGATAGTAAGCTAACAAAGCCTTTGAGGCACGATGACGAGGCTATAGTAACAGATGTAGGTCTGATTCAAGTTGACAGTTTCTATCAAGACAATCCCAAGTGGTATGATTCACCTTGTGGGCTGGACTCCACTGGAGATTGCGGGGATAGTGAATTCAGACATGGCGAGATGGTTTAAACTCTCCTGGGAGAGGTCAGATTAAACTCACTTCTAACATAGTTGTGTCGGGTTTGTACTGTGCCTCGATACATCCATTCTTGCTGCTCAAAATTGGGCTGTACATTTCATGTATACTGAAGATTGGAGAATTGCACGAAGGGTTTAGGGGTGTGTTATTTCCTGTAAAGCATGAACAATGAGCTTTGTTGCACATAGCATGTCTGTAAGTATTGTAAACCAGCCAACTTCTCGTGGGATGTTTATTTGCTCTCTCTGACAGTAGAGAGAATTCGATTATTGTTCATTTGAAAGTTTGTTAGTTTTTCTTCCATTTTATTGTTTATTGGTTTCATTGTTGCATGTATGTATTGCCTTAATTCCTGTTTCCTTATTCCTTTGGGTTTGGAACTGAGCTTGTTTGCAATAGCTATTAAGCAGTTTATTCTTGCTGTTTCTTTCCCGTCTTTCTAACCAAGCATTGAATGCCATGGATTGGTAGTCTTCTTATGCGAAGCTGTGTACATGTCCTCGAAAATTATGGCATCAGTTTTGAATCCTGCTGCCTCGACAATTCTGCCGTCGCTTGAAGTTCGTGTGCCTTGATTCATTCCAACAAGTAGCTTTCAAACTAAAGCGTCAAGGAATGAATACTGTATGTGATGCAGTATCATTCTGTGTCACGTGTATATTGTGCTACTTATTATGTCCTCAATTTCAGGCGAGGACATAATTTTTTATGAGTTGGACATTTGGACGGCTGACGGGCTGAGACTGGAATGGAAATAATGCGGTTTGGTTCAGTGACTCGTAAATTTTATGGATGTTAAACGTTAATAGAAAAGGATTCCGATATTTTGACCGGGACAAAATTGTCATTATAAAATTCAGGGATAAAATTGTCAGTTTGATATAATTTAGGGCGAAAAAATTTAAATTTTAAGGCGACGAATAGCAATTCAGTTAATCAGGCCAAGAAATGGGTAAAGGTAAATCAAACGGTGAGGCTTGAACGGATTTCTTCTCCCTTAGAAGCCTTTTAGGGATAAAATTGTCAGTTTGATATAATTTAGGGCGAAAAAATTTAAATTTTAGGGTGGCGAATAGCAATTCATAACCAAATTGGATCTACTTATGGTCTGGTTCTTGTTCTCAATTATTCTACTGTTGGACACAGGCTATCCTTATTCGGCCAATTCCTTATCAGACTATACCGCTATATATTATTAATACATATAAACCTGAAGTTTGGTTACTGTTACCAAACAAATTACAAATTAGGCACTATAATGTACATTTTACATTTTTGATACTCCAAATTTAATTTTAATGTAAACCGATTGAACAATTATTGTTTGGTACTTAAATTTTATGAGATTTTTGTAATTACAATTTTTTCAAATTTATATATTGGTCAAATATTTAGATTTCACTTGAATACATGAATCCAATCCACCAGTCCTTTTGAACCAATCCATGAATCCAAACCATAACATAAAAGTATAAATTTAGTTTGTATCATACAATATGTTGTATCACTAAACTGTAGGAGAAGATTCGACCATTTTATATTTGCTTATTACGTGAAACATTAAATAAATGATAAAAGCTACACAACTCTAAAATATTGGAAGAGAAAATTTATAAATTCATTTAGTACATTTACGGGGTACTAAACAAACGTATACTAACTACATGTAACAGAATATGCGACATCTATATAAGCAAGTGTGAATAAATTGCTACAATGAAAAGGATTGATTGTTGTATTGACGACTAACTAAAAGAATTGGTCAAAACCTTTCCATCATCTACTTCCTCTTCGCTTCATTTTTCACATGCCTTCCATAACCCTTTCTTTATTTCTTTCTTTTTTATATTCGTCTAACCCTAATTAGTATACTATTTTATGTATTCTAATCACAAATATGAACGGGTCCACACACGACCGACCAACATTCTAGAGAATTAATAATTGAACCAGAAACCATTAATTTTTTCAGCTCAATGTCGATTCTAATTAAAAATAAATATATATGTTTATTACTTATTAGAAAGTCTTCATTTTCCATTATGGGATTTGAAGCCGTGAAATTTTAAGCGAGTTCCAGTTTATATTCCTTTTGCTTCTCTCTAGAGTTTTTTTCAATCAGGCTAGAATTTTCAACAATTATACATATAATTTTCAACAATTATACATATCAAATAAATAGTTTCCTATTTGTTTATAAAAACGTAAATAATTATCATTTTAAATACATCACCATAAAAGAAGTTAAGTCTCAACTATGCAAATTACAGTTGGATACCTAAACTTAACAAATCTTTAGATTTATAACCTAAAATTATTTTTTTTGGCATATAAGTCCTCAAAATATTGACGGAACATTACATTTTAATATTTAAAATGTTTGTGTAATAGTTTTAGTATCTAAACTTTTGAGGTTCTACAAATAGGTCTAATTTTTGTATGTGTAATTAAAACACCATCGAATAAATGGATATCAATACCCAACTCATACACATTTAAATTATGAAAGTAAATATCCATACGCTACCCAAAGCCATCTACAAACTTCCAACCCCATAATATACGTCACCCATACCTACCCATAATCAATGAGTCTACTAGATTTTAAGTAAATATAATTTATTAGCCAAAATTTTCAAGATTTTTTAAATTGGATATTAACCATCATATATCTCTTCTCAGTTAATATTACTAACAAAAGTGCTAATAATACTAACAAAATACCTTAACGGGTCACATAATACATGCCCGTAGGCCATCTTCACCCGCGACAAGGCGCGGCATCGCCACCTAGTATGTATATATATCATGCTCATTCCATGCAACGCTTAGTCTGATAGGGAATTGGCCAAATTATATATAGTGATGTAATTGGTGCATCCACTTTTTTTGGTGCATTCAATGCAATAAGCTCATAATCGTTATTCGGTATTAATCGTTGCTTATGATATTATGGAGAAGAAACACACAAATTTTCAAAAAATCATTCAAGATTTATTTTAATTGGAAGGAGTTAGAATTTAGGAATTTAAAGTTAGGGTTAGGGTTTAAGTTTACAATTTAGAGTTTTGGGTTGGTATTCAAAATTGAAGGATAAGGGGCTAGAGTAATGGATTGATTAGTTGTGATTCTATATTATATAATCATATTAGAATAATTAAACCACAAGTCTCCAAAAATTACCAAAATTAAAACTGTTCCTTAAGAAAAAATCGGGATGCACTGTTCACGGAGGGGTTTTCAGATCACATGTGATTATTTTTATGTATGTCTGTGTTACCACATTGAGCTGGAAAAGCATGGCCACATATAATAGTTATTAATATACACTACTTAAAATCTTATATAGGTTGGAGGAATATTTATTTCTTATGTATCAATCAAATAGACGTGTTAAATAAGTCACTCGTAATAATAAGACACTACGTAAAGTTTATGTAAGTGACTTAATTGAACTATTTTGTGAATAATTTTATTTCAACTAAATCATTAAATGAGTAAATGATATTTTGTCAAAAAAAAAAATTTGATTACTGACTCGCTCAAAACTACCCAACGAATTATATACGACTAGAGCCCAAGTTTTTAAACTCTAGCCGGGTGCAGTATAGGGCAAGTGTTTAATTGTCAAACCCGGGGCGGTCCATGTACCCCTACTTCAATAGCTTAAGTTGTTATCTAACAAAATAGTTTTGGATTTAAAACTAAGAAAACTAGAAAGTAAACAAGCAAGGAAAGTAAATGGATGAGAATTCTACTCAAGTGGACTTCACCCGGGTATTGCTCCCACTAGTCTCATGCTAAGAAGCGACAAACAAAGCTCTAGTGTGAAGGACGTGTTCATACACCGCGAGGTGGGTGCAACTAGCTAGAGATAAACTCTCTTAGTCGATCAATGAAGGAAAGTCAAAAAATATAAGCTAGGAGAACTAGCTCTCTTAACCGTTAGGTTAAGGATTGTGATTCATAGCTTTGGAACCTAGCCCTCTTCACCGATCAACCAAGGAGATCCCTAACTCTCGTAGTTAGCTAATTGAGAATCGTTGAAACAAGTCAGAAAGCTAACTCACTTAACCTTTTGGCTAAGGGTGACAACGATAGGCTAGGAAACCTAAACCTCTCGACTAGCCGACTAGCCGACTAAGGATTGCAAACCAAACCCTCGAAACTTAATCCGGTCGGTGGAGAGACCAATCCCGGTGGAATCACGGCCCTACTCCGATACTTACGATTTTGGTCTTAAATCGACCTAAAGGAGATTACCCAAGTGGCTAAGAAGTCTAGCTTCCTATTGGACCAAAAGGGGATTTCCACCCTCTAGGTCAATTTTACCCAATATTGAGTTAAAGCTAGCACACTCAATCATTCATGAATAATACCTCAAATATCATATAAAACACTCAATCAACACAATAGGTTCATGTTCATACATCCTAACACATAGAGAGACTATGATTCACAATATACAAGTGAGTAGGTAGGCTATTCCATAGTTAGACAAGAAAAAACAACAAAAGGGGAAGAAAGAACCATGAAGTGATGCCAATCTCTCCTCCTTGTTGCTTGAGACACCCTTGAGATGAAGAAATCTTCAATCCTCTAGCTAGGAACAAGGCCAAAGCTCCTTCTTCCTCCTTTGATTTGCACTTTCTCACTGTAGAAGAAACGTTAACCTCTCACTAGAATCCCCTTTATTCTGAAAAATGAAAACCTAACGTAAAAATGAAGCTCCACCTTTTCTTCCTATCAGCTCTCCATATAAACTGAGATCGCGCTCAGTTCACGGCCGTGAACACCTAAATGCGTCTCTGAACTCAGTGTCGTGGCCAAAACGCAACGCTTCACTTCCCGGGGTTCACGGTCTTAGCGACCGTGAGCTTCCTTGTCGTCAGTAACCTCTGGAACCCCCTGGACACCTCGCTATTCATGGTTTGTTGTTCCAGTTCACGGTCCTGGCGGCCGTGAACTCGCAGCTCTGACCGTGAACTGCGGTTGGTTCCTAGACGCCTGTGCTTCACTTTTATTCGGTTTTTGCGCTTTTTGACCTCCAATCGTCCCGAAACTCGTCCTCGACCCTTCCACACGTGCTAGGACCTGAAATGTATCAAAACAAGCACAACCTAGAATGAAATATGTCAAGGGACAATGAAATTCAAAGCCAAACTATCAAGAAATGAAGGGTAAAATGTGTAAAATTGGACCCGAATCAACTATCGCCGCGAAGCGTGGGCCACAAAGCTAGTTATACTAATACTACCAATTAAAGTTCAAAATTCGATGTCTTACGACTTCTTTTAGAGTTGTGTGCATTGAATGCACCCAAAAAATTGAGTGCACCGAAGTAGCCATTGATCAAGAATTCGGCCGAACAGCTAAGTTGGTATCTTTTGGACGCACATTTTTTAGAATGGACCTTTAGTTGATGATTCATAGTATACCAATAAATCTACCTAGCTAATAAGGGTTTCATTCAAGAGGCCTTGAGTTTCAGACGAAAGTTTAAGTATGCAGTATCATGAAGGCCTATCCAACAAGCCAAAATGGTCTCAGTAGAGTAATGATGATACCGACTTGACTTATTTAAATTTGTAACAACGGATGTTTACTAGACCACATGAGCAACATGGACGTGTT